ATCATGCAGCTGGAAGAAGGTCATATTTTGAGCCCTTTTCAAAACAACTGTTCACTTAGACCCACTCCCTTGCTCCTTGCTTATTGGTCAAGAATCCAACTTTCTGCATCCTACCTGAAGGTGGCAAATATCAATAATAATTTTTTTAATGTATTCATTTTTGTGGGATAATGATGTCATTGGCTGGCCAGCATTTATTGCCTGTTCCAAGTTGTCCTTGAGAAGTTGATAATGAGCTGCCTTCTTGAACTGCTGCAGTCTACCTGCTCTGAGTTGACCCACAATGCCATTAGGGAGGAAATTCCAGGATATTAACCCACCAATAGTGAAGGAACAACGATTATATTTTCAATAAAAACCGAAAGAACTGCAGATGCTGCAAATCAGGAACAAAAACAAAGTTGCTGGAAAAGCTCAGCAGGTCTGGCAGCATCTGTGAAGGAGTAAACAGAGTTAACGTTTCGGGTCCGGTGACCCTTCCTCAGAACTGATTATATTTTCAAGTTAAAGTGGTGACTTGGAGGGGATCTTGAAGGTTCCCATGTATCTGCTGCCCTTGTCCTTTCAGATGCAAGTCATCATTGGCTTTGAAAGTTGCTGTCTGAGGATCTTTGGTGAATTTCTGCAGTTCATCTTTTAGATAATACGCGTTGAGTGTTGGTGGTAGACGGAATTGATGCTTGTGGATATGGTGCCAGTCAAGGAGGCTGCTTTGTCCTGGATAGTGTCAAGCTTCTGGAGTGTTGTTGGAGCTACATTGGTTGAAGAATATTCCCCATTTGCTCTCTGACTCCTGACTTGTGCCTTGTCGATGGTGCACAAGCTTCGGGAGTCAGGATGTGAGTTACCGCGGTATTCAAAGCTTCCGAGCTGCTGTTTTTGTCACTGTCTTTATGTAGCAAGTCCACTTGCGTTTCTAGTCGATGTTTACCCCCAGGATGTTGATAGTGGAGTATTCAGTGATGGTAACATCATTGAGTGTCAAGGGGCAGTGATTAGATTGTCTCTTACTGGTGATCGTCATAGCCTGGCATTTGTATGGCTTGAATGTTACTTGCCACTTGTCAGTCCAAGTCTGGATATTGTCCAGAACTTGTTACATTTGAACATGGACTGCTCCAGTATCTGAGGAATCGTGAATGGTGCTGAACATTGTGCAGTCATCAGCGAACACCCCCACTTCTGACCTTAGGATGGAGGGAAGGCCATTGATGAAGCAGCTGAAGATGGTTGGGCCTAGGATACTACCTTGAGTGACTTCTGCAGAGATGTCCTGAAGCTGAGATAACTGACCTCTAACAATTACGACCATCCTGCGATGTGCCAGGTATGACTCTAACCACTAGAGAGTTTTCTCCCAATACCCATTGCTTCCAGTTTTGCTAAGACTCCTTGAAGCTACACTCGGTCGAATTCAGCTGTTTTGTCTGTGTTTGAAGCAAGGCTGTAGTGAGGTCAGGAACTGAGCAGCCCTGGCAGACCCCAAACTGGGTGTCACTGAGCAGGTTATTGCTGAGCAAGTGCTGCTTGAATAGCACTGTTGATACACCTTCCATCATTTTACTGATGATCAAGAGTAGACTAATGGGCAGTAATTGGCCGAGTTGCATTTATCCTAGTTTTTATGTACAGGACATACCTGGGTAATTTTCCACACTGTCGGGTAGATGCCAGTCAATTATCATCATTGACTGTTTATCAGATATGCTATACATCATGCTGGATTCTGGTTGTGGGTAAATGGATTCCCTCCTTTTTTTTCATTTTACTGCAATAGTACAGTTTCTACATTGCTGGTTTATACAGACCCTAATTGATGCAGGGATGATTTGCAGTCTAACGTTCTGCTGCTGTGCCTAGAGAATATTCATTGTTGTTAAATGTGTTTCACCATATGAAGCAGCTAGATTTGGCACTGCAAAGATCACTGGAATTAAAGGCACCTACTTTAAAAGCTGCTGTATGCTTTCATTACACAGCAATCAGGCTGCTTTAGAAGGTTTACTCTGATGCTTGCATTACTTGTACCCTGGCAAAGGCACGTTGAGGAAGCTGAGATAACAAGGTGTAGAGCTGGATGAACACAGCAGGCCAAGCAGCATCAGAGCAGCAGGAACGCTGATGTTTCGGGCCTAGACCCTTTTTCAGAAAAGCTGAACTGATTTTAAGGCTCTCTGTTTGTTGGTTATTTGATTTTGTAAATGAAAAATATTTTTCATGTTTTTCCCCTTTAAGCTTGCTGTGACTTTCTTTCTTTACTATTTTGATAAATCGTACCCCATTTCTTGATATTGCACCTAAGGTAAATAATACTTGTGATCAGAAACTGCTGTCTCCTCAACTTTTAAACTGAAATTACGTTCCCAGATAGCAAAAGTACACACACTAACCACAGATATTTAGGCTGTTTCACTGTTTAGTTACTATATCTATGTCAATTTGAGTTGAAAAGTTAAAAAGCAAGTGGAACAATTCAAACTTATTGATTTGCTTACCTTTTAGGCTATGGATTGGAATCCTCCTCTGTTTTTATTAGTTTTGCATTCTAATTGGTTTTTATAGACATCTACGTTAAATGTAGTACACTGTTTGCTACGTTAGGCTTACTAAAATTTTGCACTTGAATTGTTACATTTTAAGCCTCTATTATGGTGTCTTATCACTGATTTAATAATCCTTGTATTTAAACAAAGGATTAGAAATGTACAGTGTAGGTTGTAAAGGCTCTCTATCTGCTTGCCTGGAGCAGTAAGGGATCATAAATTTCTCATTTGCATTAAATATGTCCTTGGACTCGGTATTGCTGATCATTCCTCTAAGCAGACCCAGAATTCCCTACAATTTGGGAAGCTAACATTGCATCACAAGATGTAGTGAAGAGTGGGCAACTGTTTAACTCCTGAAGTTACAGAGCTTCAAAATTTTTTTGTTTGGCTCATAGTTATTGTATATTCCAGTCTGCCAACTAACTATGGAAATTTTCAGCTCATGTTCTGTGAAATATGGCTTGGCATTACTGTGATAAAACCTACTTCAGTATCTGGAAGAACAACAGTATTTCACTAGAGTAGGAATTGAATAAGTGGTGTTTTAAACGTTCTAGGCTGACTATCCTTCCTCTTTCAACACACCCCCTTCCTGTTCGCTTCCTTTTCTTACATCACTTCTGTTCTGATTATTATTGCTGTGTATGTCAAATGTATCACAGTCCATTAACATTTTATCTTTTTGTTCCTTGGAACACAAACATTGAAATAAAGTTCAAATATTTAATTTAGCCTTGCATTTATGTTCACTTTTAAGCATCATCTCTTAAAATTACATTTTAACCATTTCAATTCCAATATATGAATGATTGACAGTCATGCAAGCCAACATTTGTATGAACTTTTACATTTCAAGCTAAGAAGTGAACAGTTGGTTAGATTGTTTGTTTGTGATGCTGTCAGCCCAGTTAAGTTAACATCTTGTAACAATGCAAGAGGTATCCTTTGATGAATAACTGATATCTGTATGCCTTTTTGATTGCATTGTTGAAACTTTCTGTGGAGGAGTGTTTAGAGGCTCTACTGGTATTAGTCAAACAATGTAGATCAATAACAAAAACAGAAGTTGCTGGAAAAGCTCAGCAGGTCTGGCAGCATCTATGAAGGAAAAATCAAAGTTAACATTTCAGAACTTCCGCAGTTCTGAGGAAAGGTCACTGGACCCGAAATGTTAATTCTGCTTTTTTCTTTACAGATGCTGCCAGACCTGCTGAGCCTTTCCAGCAACTTCTGTTTTTGTTCCTGATTTACAGCATCCGCAGTTCTTTTGGTTTTTAATGTAAATCAATAGATTGCTAGTGTTGCTCTTTGTTTGTGATAAATTAGGATATTGGAGGAAGGGAGAAAAAAGAAAATCACCCAGAATTCCCACTCTTAAATTTTTCATCCAGTGATTGTTCCAAAAAAGACCAATGTGCATATGTGTGAGGGGGTAAAAAGTTGGGTTTAGTGATGAATGCCCTCTCATTTAAAACCTGATTAAAAACCAGTCATTGAGGGTGATAACCTGGGGTGAGGTGCTTGAAGTCAGGCAGTGCCTATGAAACTAGCCCAAAAGAGGAGAGAAAAAAAATTAATGAAATCAATGCAAAACCTTAGCAGATATAACTACCAGCTGTATACATTTAATTTTTTTTTGCTTTAGGAGTGGCATTTATATGCAAAAGTGACATTATTATTAGCACCTTTCTCTTGGAGAGTTTTTCATTGTGTTCAGAGATTACGTTCAAAATTCAACAACCTGAATATTCCAAGTGGCCATTAGTTGGTGCTGCTGTAAATCTAGAACAAGCTCACTGAATTAGTCAAGAATAATATCCCCATTTTACTGGATTCCAAATGTAACATTTAATCCAAATAGATATGCTTAATGGAAAAGATGAGACAAATCTGCTTTAAGACTTATTTTATATTCACACATGATCATATCCTCATTCTATGCAATTGAGCAATTTCACTTTTGCATTTTTTTAAGCCACTGAATCGCTGTTTTTGACTCTTTATCCTTTATTTCTTGTTTGCTGGTTATGGTGCCGCAGCAATTGAAGAATACCTTGTCCAATTCACTAAATGCATCAGTCTGTATTGGATGTACATTGCATAGCCAGTCTCTGAGAATCTGGCTACCAGCAGCATCTGAGATTGGTGAACTCTGCAAAGTGAATATTGAATTTGGGACATTGGTCTGTATGGCTGTGATCCACATTGGACGTAAAACTGAATGATTGAAATAGTTTCTTCCAAAATTTAGTGGGTGCTTTTAATGAACTCTGGAAAGACTGCTTATATCTCCATAGATTTAATGCCAGACATTAGCAAACGTTGCACTATTAATAAGAGAGCTTCTCACAAGTTTTGAATGTTGGAGCTTGATTTAAACTTTAAGGCATAAAATGTGCAATATTTGTGTTTGTCAGTACTCTGAAACCTTTTCTCTCAAATCTTTCCTGACAGAGGTACATATGATATTTATGTAAATAAAGATGGGAAGCCTCTACTTGTTGGTAAATACGACAATCATGGCAGCTTTGGTGAGCTGGCACTAATGTACAACACTCCAAGAGCTGCTACTATTGTGGCTACCACAGAAGGAGCCCTCTGGGGTTTGGTAAGTATTGTGTTGTGTCAATGATTAGTGGCCACTGTTTGAAGAGATGTATATATGTCCCTTGATATACAGGTACATCTTCCTTTTGTATTACTCACAGTTTAAGGTGAGTTGTACATATTAGGATCATTAGAGATTCTGAATTAGGGTGGGATGCAATTGGGTTGAGACTTAGCCCAGGGATTCAAGAAGGTGTCGGAGCATGTTATGAAACATGGTGTCCATGGGAGTAAGGAACTTTAAGATTTTTGACAGTAAAGTCAAAAGGAAGGGAGCAAATGAAACAGAATTGTGGAAGTAAAATTACAACATGCTAATTGTACACAGCAGGGCAATCAATCCAAAACACGTCTGATCTTCAGTAGAGATACTGTTTAACCAGCTTGTGTATTTTCCATTTTTATTTTCATTTCTAATGACTTAATTGGCAAGAAATGAGTTACCAGGCCAGGTGTTTAAGCATTGCCTCACTTGCAAGGATTTGCTTCAGAGGCGAATTTGCTGTTTGGTTTAGTGCTTTTAGTGTAGGGCTGTCAGGCAAGATTGAATTGAGGGAATGATCATGGCAGCTTATAGTGAACAACTTGTTTTCCCTTCCTCTGGCTCAGTTTTTCCTGTATATTTTAACTTCTAAAAAGTCAATGGAGAAAAATACGAAACATTTTCTATTCGAAACGCAAAGAATGTCCAGATATACTCAGAGGTCAAAAAAAATCTTAAAGCAGGTTTAAAAAATTGCTCTGGTACGGCTAGTTTGTTCTTTGATTTTATTACTTATCAGCTGAGTGCTTTAGAGGGAAACTGTTTGCAGCCAGGCTTAAAATACTTGCAGCCACATGCATGCAAGTCTGCAGGATGAGACTGGGGATAATATGAATCTGCAGGGCTAGGCTGGCACGGTTGCGAGTCTGCTGGGTACTGGGGCAGAGGCTTTCTTAAACTGCTGCAGTTCATTTGGTGTAGGGACATCAACAGTTTTGCTGGCAAGGCAGTTCCTGGATTTTGGCCATAAGATATAGGAGCAGAAGTAGGCCATTTGGCCCATCAACTCTCCTCCATGATTCAGTGAGGTCATTGCTGATCTGATAATCCTTAACATTATTTTCCTACCTTATCTCCATGACATATGATTCCCTTGCTGATCAAAAATCTTTCTCTCAACTTTGACTACATTTAACAATCCAGCCTTCTATGGTAAAGAATTCCACAAATTGACAATCATCTGAGAGAAGAAATTCTTCCTCATCTCTGTTTTAAATGATTGATCTCCTTTTCTGAGATTAACCTGTGCAAACCTCTTACCTGACATGGGCTTCGTACTGGACTGCAGGGTGTCCGTTTTGGTTCCGTTTCAGTTTGCTAAATCTGGCTTCTTTGTGCAGAAATACCAAAGCAAAATGTTACAGATACTGAATGTCTGAAATGAGAGCAAAACTGCTTGCAATACCCTCGTCTGAAAACACCAACAGAGAGAAACAAAGATGAGTAGGAATTCGGACAACAGGTCATCGACATGAGATAACTCTCCCCATAGATGCTGCCAATGTATTTCCAGCATTTTCTGTTTTTATACGTGTATACAGTGCAGCACTTGACAGCTGATTTAGTTTGACTTGGAAACTTTGGAAGCTGAAATTTTATTCCAACACTACCCTCTGCTGGACATGCAGCTGTATTGTACTGATTGATTGTTACAAGATCAAAAATCATACAACACCTGATTACAGCCTAACAGGTTTATTTAAAGACACAAGTTCTTGGAGTCTCACTTCTTCACGTGTCAGTGAGAGAGGTGTCATCAGGCACAGAATTTATAAGCAAAAGATCAAGGGGTCACAGAACTAATGCGAATGTATTGAACAAACCTCTCTCATTGACACCTGAAGAAGTGAGACTCACAAAGCTTGCGTCTTCAAATAAACCTGTTGAACTATAACCTGGTGTCGTGTGATTTTTGACCTTGACCACCCCAGTCCAACACCGGCACCTCCACATAGAGTCATAGAGTAATACAGTATGGAAGCAGGCCTTTTGGCCTGAATTGGTCCATGCTGACTATGGTGCCCACTCAGCAAGTTCCAATTGCCTGCGTTTGGTCCATACCCCTGTAAACCTTTCCCATCCGTGTACCTATCCAAATTTTAAAAAAAATGTTGCTATTGTCCCTGCCTCAACCACTTTCTCGACAGCTCATTCCATATATGCACCACTGTCTGCATGAAAAAGTTGCCCCTCAGGACCTTCTTGAATCTTACCCCTCTCAGCTTAAACCTGTGCCCTCTAGTTTTTCAATCCCCCATCTCTGGGAAAAAGACCATATGAATTCATCCTATCTATGCCCCTCATGATTTTATATACCTCAGTAAGGTCACCCCTCATTCTGTTACTTTCCAAGGAATAAAGTCCTATCCTGGCCAACCTCTCCCTATAACTCGGGCCTTCTAGTCCTGGCAACATCTTCGTAAATCTTCTTCACACTTTACAATTTAACTATACAGGGTGCCCAAAACTGTACACAATACTCCAAGTGCAGCCTCACCAACAACTTATATAACTGTAATATAACGTCCCAACTGCTATACTCAATGCATTGACCGATGAAGCCCAGCATGCTAAACGCCTTCTTCACCAGCCTGTCCACCTGTGATGCCACTTTCAATGGACAATGTGCTTGTACTACGAGGTCCCTCAGTTCCACAACACTCCTCAGGACCTTAACGTTTACTGTATAAGTCCTACCTTAGTTTGACTTTTCCAAAATGCAACACGTCACACTTATCCATATTGAATTGCATTTGCCAATCCTCAGGCCACTTCCCCATCTGATCAAGATCCCTCTGTAATTTTTTGATAACCTTCCTCACTATCAATGATACCTCCTAGTTTTGTATCATCTGCAAACTTACTAATTATGCCTTTACATTCATATCCAGATCATTTATGTAAATAACAAATAACAAAGGACCCAGCACGTACCCCTGTGGCACACCACTAGTCACAGGCCTGCAGTCCGAGAAACAACCTTCAACCATCACCCTCTGCTTCCTACCATCGAGCCAATTTTGAATCCAATTAGCTCGCTCTCCCTGGACCTCATGCAACCTAACCATTGTGACTAGCCTGCTGTGTGGAACCTTGTCAAAAGCATTACTGAAGTCCAGATAGACAACATCCACTGCCCTACCCTCATCTATCCTCCTGGTTATCTCTTTGAAAAACTCAGTATTTTTTTAAACTGACTTCCTGCGCACAAATCCATGCTGACTATCCCTAATCAGACCTTAACTATCCAAATGTTTGTTGATCCTGTCCCTCAATATCCTCTCCAATAACTTGCCGACTACTGATGTCAGGCTCACTAGCCTGTACTTCCTTGGCTTGTCTTTACTACCTTTCTTAAACAATGGAACAACATTAGCTACCCTCCAGTCTTCCAGAACTTCACCAGTGGCTAAAGATGAAGCAAAAATCTCTGCCTGGGTCTCTGCAATTTCTTCCCTAGCCTCCCACAATGTCCGAGGATGGACGTGATCAGGCCCAGGGGATTTATCCACCTTAATGCGCTCTAAGGCTGCAAACACCTCCTCTCTGGTAATATGTATGCAGTCCAAAACATTCCCACTTGTTTTCTTAGCATTAAGATTGTCTCCTCAGTAAATACTGAAGAGAAATATTCGTTTAAAACCTGTGCCATTTCCTGTGGCCCCACACGTAAATAGCCATGCTGATCTTTAAGGGGACCTATTCTGTCCCTAGTTATACTTTTACTCTTAATATAGCTATAGAACCTCTTGGGATTATCTTTAACCTTATCTGCCAGATCCATCTCATATTCTCTTTTTGCTCTTCAGATTCCCCTCAAGTGTGCTTACACTTTATACTCATCTCGGGATTCACTTGAGCCTGATAGCTTTAAACCCAATACATGCTGCCTTCTTTTTCCTGACCAGAGCCTCAATATCCCACAGCCTGGGATCCCTAAACCTGCCAGCTTTTCTCTTCACCCTAACAGGGACATCACACTTCTAAAAGCCTCCCATTTGCCATTTGAGATAACAAGGTGTAGAGCTGGATGAACACAGCAGGCCAAGCAGTATCAGAGGAGCAGGAAGGCTGACGTTTCGGGCCTAGATCCTTCTTCAGAAATGCCATTTGCTCCTTTTTCGTTGAAACAGACTTGCCCAATCGACCGCTGCTAGATTCTGCCTAATGGCCCCAAAATTGGCCCCCCTCCAGTTTAACATCTTGACCTGTGGACCTGTCCTGTCTTTGTCGGGTTACGTTCACTGGACCCAAAGTGCTGTCCAACTGACACTTCAGTCTCTTGCCCGACTTTGTTTCCTAAGAGGAGGTCCAGTGTTGCACCCTCCCAAGTTGGGCCCTCTACATATTGAATTAGGAAGCTTTCTTGGACACATTTGACAAATTCCACTCAGTCCAGGCCTTTTATGCTGTGTGTGGTCCAGTCAATAAAGGAGAAATTAAAATCTTCAATCAATACAATTCTGTTATTCCTACAGGTATTTGCAATCTCTCTACAGGTGATGGCCTAGTGGTATTATCGCTGGACTGTTAATCCAGAGACCCAGATAACATGCTGGGGACCCGGGTTTGAATCCCACCACGGCAGATGGTGGAACTTGAACTTAATAAATATCTGGAATTAAGAATCTAATGATGACCGTGAATCCATTGTCAATTGTTGTAAAAACCCATCTGGTTCACTAATGTCCTTTAGGGAAGGAAGCTGCCATCCTTACCTGGTTTGGCCTGCATGTGACTCCAGACCCACAGCAATATGGTTGACTCTGAACTGCCCTCTGGGCAATTAGGGATGGGCAATAAATGCTGCCTGGTCAGTGATGCCCTCAGCCTGTGAATGAATAAAAAAAAATACACAGCTGCTCCTCTAGTACCTGCTGGTTATTTAAGGGTCTATCGTACAAGTCCCAACAGTGTGACTATCCCCTTCTTGTTTCTAAGTTCTAACCATATGGCCTCATTTGATGACCCCTTAAGAATATTCTCTCTAAACACGGTTGTTGTGTGCTCCCTTATCAAAAGGGCAACTCCCCCCTCCTCGCTTACCTGTACTTCTGTCATGGCTGGAGCTTCTGTATCCTGGAACATTTAGCTGCCAGTCCTGCCCTTCTCTCAGCCATGTTTCTGTTATGGCTATAATACCCCAGAGCCAATCCATGCTCTGAGCTCATCTGCTTTACCAGTCAAGCATCGTGCATTGAAATAAATGCACTTTAAGCCAGAAGTCTCTATCCTTCCTTTACTGTGCTCCGGCTATCCTGAATAGTAAAGTTGCTCTCAATGGCTCATGTATTTTCCCCTGACTTCTCAATGGCCCCTCTCTTGTTCAGAGTCCCACCCTCCTGCCAAACTATTTTAAACCCTCCTGGGTAACCCTAGCAATTCTCCCCGTAAGTATATTGGACCCCTTCCAGTTCAAGAGCAACCTGTCCCTCTTGTACAGGTCGCCTCTACCCCAGAAGAAATCCCAGTGTTCCAAGACCTGAAAACACTGCCCCCTACACCAGCTCCTCAGCCACGCATTCATCTGGCCTGTCTTTCTATTTCTGTCCTCACTGGCACATGGCACTGGGAGTAATCCGGTGATCACTACCCTTGAGGTCCTGCTTTTTAACTTCTTACCTAACTCCCCATACTCATTTCACGGGACCCCATCCCTTTGTCTACCTACGTCATTTGTACCGACGTGTGCAATGACCTCTCGCTGTTTACCCTCCCTTTCAGAATGTTCTGCAACCGCTCAGAGACATCCTTGACCCTGGCACCCGGGAGGCAACACACTATCCTGGTGTCTCTTCTGCAGCCACAGAATCTTCTGTCTGTCGCCCTCACAACTGAGTCTCCTATCAGTATTGCTCTGTCTGACTGCATCCTTTCCCTCTGAGCCTCAAAGCCGGTCACAGTGCCACTGACCTGCCTGCTGCTGCTAGCTCCTAAAAGGTCATCCCCAACACTGGCTCACTCTTAATGGCTGCTCCCTTGTACACCTTTACCTTACCTTGCCAGTCATCCTCCTCACAGAACCCTTTTTTTGGTCACAGGAGGAGGGAGGGTAGGAAACACAAATGTAATGTTTCAGGTTGAACCATACCTTAACACCAGGTTCTCTCTAAGCTGCTGCCCTTTTTTGCTGTCTCAGAGGGTGTCCTGCGGAGGTCTCCAGTACAGACGTGTTGACTGGTGATGTCTCCCAGAATTCCACTGTGACTCTCAGCCGCCCTCTGATTCACTCCATTGTTACAAGAGGCATAGAAAGGACAGATGCCCAGAAAGTTATATCATATTGTTGGAAGTATACCTGCCTTCTTATGTTGCTTCTGAGACAAGTGGAAATTGTTACTTTCATGATTAACAGTGCTGGCAGCAAAATTCATTTTAAAATACTTTGTATTTGGATCAATTCTAATTATAGATGTTTGTTTCTTTATGTCCTAGAGAGAGATTTTTAGCATGATTGGAAATGTGAAAAATTTGAACTTGATCACAATGGTAACTTTACTGAGACAGAATTTAAATTATTTTAGCATGAGAATTTGTCGTCTTTTGTTAAGGTTTGCTACTGTAAATTTGTTTTTCAATAAAAGTCTGTCACTTATGTTACTTGTGTCAACTTGTACATTGTAGAGCAAGCTCAAAGGGTTAGAATTACTACCCTAGTTCCTCATAAACTAACTTTCCCCCTCCTTGAACGCTGTCTTTATTTAAGAATTGTTGCTATTTTTACGGTTATTTTGGGGAGAAAAGAACTGTGTGGGCTTGCTTCTTTTTACTGAGGATTTGTTGTTTACTGTGAGGGTTGTACTGTTTACTTTGGTATATTGGCTTGTAATGTTTTACTGCAGTTGACAACTTGCCCATTTTTATTGTGAATTTATCACTTCAATTCTCAAACTATGCTGCTTCCATTGAAAATTTCTCACTGCTGAGCTGTAATTTTCAGTTAGTTGTAGTCATTCTTGCACCTTGATACCGTTACCATATGTGACGCACATGCTCCATTTCAGACAAATCCCATGAAGCTATATATGGAAATTCTAGACGTAGTGTCGGTTTCAGGTGAGATGGGATTTGAGAGTTGAGGCCATTGGACAAGATGTACAGGTTTATCTTGGGCCCATTTTAAAGTCATACAGTTTGCTCTTTGTATTTTTGATATAAATTCATTTAACTTTATTTAACTTATAAATAGGTTTTTTAAATCTTTTGTTTAGTAGCAGTTGGTGATGCTTTAGAGCCTCCACCAGTAAAAGTGTTTAACAGGGGATTTAAATTTACATAGGGAGTTCCATTATAGACCTTAGGTTTAAGGTAAAAGTTCGGCACAACATCGTCGGCCGAAGGGCCTGTACTGTGCTGTACTGTTCTATGTTCTGTATCCTATTGTGAATGTTAATAAAGTAACAAGTTGACAAGAAGTGCAGAGAAGATTTGCATCATGCTGCTGGGCAGTCCATGTGTTTTAAATGTTGAATTGAAAGCAAGTATAATTTGAAGGTGAGAATGTGTAAGAAAGAGAGTGAGAAGTGGACTGGTCTGGACTAAGGGGATACAGTGAAATTTCATGTAATTTGTTCCTTTTGTGCACAATATTTTGAATTATTTATGGTTCTTTAAATATACTTGCTGCAATTTGAGGAGCCAATGAGTAGAGTTGAATTAAGTATTTCTCTCCAAAACTGGAAAAGAAGTAATGGGAATAATTGCTACAAAAATAATTAGAAAATGAGTGCAGGAAATATTTTTAGTAGTGAACACAGACAGTGACCTGACTATTCCGAGCAGTGGCATCGCAGTTGGATCCTTTCTTAATTATCCTACCCTGAAGGTCTGTGTTTCTGGCTTGAACATCTCATTTGAGCTTTCTGAGGAACGCAGTGCATACCTCTTCAGGAAGCCTTCTAGCACAGCATAGGATCAGTGCTGGAGGTCTTATTGCATTCTGATTTTATAACACTAACTGGCATATTATGGAGGGTACAGGTCTTGAAATAGCATTCTGAAAAGTTAGAGAAAAAGTAAATGTGTAAGGTAAGTGGGGGTTGGGATAGGAAATGGGTACTGGTTGGATGGGGTAGCTCAGGGTGGGGTCAAGTGTCAGGATTGGTGGAGTAAGTTGCAATTACATACTATCTAACACCAAAACTATGCAAGTGTCAGATTTAATTGGACTCAGCATTCATGCCAAAAAGATGCAAAAAAAAATTGGCCTCACATACACAACTGTGCTGCTGCCTCTGCGTAATTCATACCTACAAAGGTAAAAAATGATTAAGGTGTTCAGGATCTTTGTACCTTTATCTTAAAAATGTGGTGTTTTCTCACTGTTCTGATTTTTGTTAGTTCATTTCCATATCCTTCTTTGCAGGATCGTGTCACGTTTCGAAGAATAATTGTGAAAAACAATGCAAAAAGGAGGAGGACATATGAAACATTCATTGAATCAGTCCCACTGTTGAAGTCCCTGGAGGTACAGTTTTTTTTTTTTTTTTTTCCTTTCACTTCAGCAAACTTTTCCACAATCTTTGACTGTAATCTATCAGCAACTTATCAGAATGCATCATGAAGTGAACTTTTTTTACCTGCAGTTAGAAACAAAATGGGCTTTTTGGGGAGGTGTCTTCAGGGAGGTTGGTTTTTTTGTCATGCTTGGAAAAAAGATTATTATGCTCTACAAACCTCTGACTCTTGATACTCCAGCTGACAGTCCAAAAGATTGGTGTGTCTTGACATGTGTCCTGTTTGACCATTGGATGCAGCTGATGAAAGTTTGCATTTATCTTTTCTGTTCAGAGCAAACTGAGCTGCCCTAAGGTACCTCCAGTGTTAATCTATGGCAGCTATTCAGGTGTCTGTGGCTGACACTTGATTTTCCCCCAATTTTGCAAGAACCATATTATTCAATGTCTCATTTACTATTTCTAATAAAATAGCTGGCCTACTTTTATTCACACCTACTAGTAACATCAATTTTGCATCAATGTTCTCTACTACCATTAGCACTCCTTTTGCCCTTTGAACTGGGGACCCTCATCATCTGTTCCATTTTCTCCTCTTCCCGCTTTGTCAATAGCATAAAAACTCTAAGCATTAACTCTGGTTCTTTCTCCTGAAATGCTGCTGGACCTGCTGAGTTTCTCCAATGCTTTTTCTTTGCCGTGTTTACTATTTGTTTGTTTACGTACTGAGTTGTGTCATAGAATCATAGAACATGGAAACAGACCATTTGGTCCAACTAGTCCATGCCAACCATGTTCCCAAACTAAACTAATCCCACTTGCCTGTATTTGGCCCATATCCCTCCAAACATTTCCTATTCATGTACTTATCCAAATGTCTTTTAAATATCGTAACTGTACTTGCATCCACCACTTCCTCTGGCAGTTCACTTCACACACAAACCACTCTGTGCAAAAATGTTGCTCCTCATGTCCTTTTTAAAACCGTCTCCTCTCACCTTAAAAATATGTCACCTAGTTTTGAACTCCCCCCACCCTAGGGAAAAGACCCTTGCCATTCAACTTATCTGTGCCTCTCATGATTTTAAAAACCTCTATCAGGTCACCCCTCAACGTCCTACGCTCCAGTGAAAAAAGTCCCAGCCTATTTTTATAATGCAAACTTAGACTGTTGTTTGGAGATTGTTCTCCTCATGTGATTCAGATGGTGCAAAGAAGGCCATTAGATTCTTGGAAGTTTCTTCTGCAAATAATAATTGACACAAATTCACTTGTTAATTTTAAATTTGATTTTGATAAAGAAGTGTTGAGGGAAATGGGAAAAGGCAGATATATGGAGTTTGGTCGCAGATCAGTTATTATCTCATTTAATGACAGATCTGGCTCAAGTTGAATAGTTTATTCTGTTTCTATGCTTCTGTGAAACCACGTAATTTCTGGACATGGTACTTCAATCTACCCTAATTACATTCCAATAATATTCAAACCATGTGTTTTCCATTTAACAAAACTTTGTTATTTACCTTGAGTTTTACTGACATTATTTGTAATCATTCTTTCTTTCCAGCTTTCAGAAAGAATGAAGATTGTTGATGTACTAGGAGTGAGGACATATCAGGACAATGAACTTATCATTGCACAGGTGTGTTGTTGTTTTACCTGGTAACTTTAGTTTTATGTGTAAATGGAAAATATGTGGATGTTGGCTACCTGAAATATAAACAGAAATTGTTGGAAACGGTTAGCATGTCTGGGAGCATCTGTGGAGATAGAAACAGAGTTGCTGTTTCAGATTACTGACCTTCCATCAGACTGGGAAAAGGTTTTTTGTTTGAGTGGCAACTGTTCATCATTCCAAATTCATACCATTTCTAGGCACGTCTTTTGTTTCTCTACTTGTAACTGTGCCATGCTGATTGACCTTACACAACCAGTCCTTTTCTCATTTATTCTCTTCTAACTTCTACCATATCTTTTTTCACACTTCGACCTTCCATGAGCTTAAAACTTTGCTGTTCTGATTAAAAGTCATTAGCTTGAAATGCTATCTCTGTTTCTGTCTTCACAGATGCTGCTAGATCTGCTGAGTATTTCCAGCATTTTCTATTTTATTACACATTCAGGTTGCAGCCAGTCTGAGATTTCTTTTTAAACAACTTGAGTAAGTAACTTTCAAACTCCAGATTCAATAAATTTGTAATTTAGTTTCTATCCGTTTTCTTCTTTTTGACAAGTTGTTGATTTCTAGCTAGTGCACGGTATTACAGGAACAAACTGCCCTCTACTTTTTCATTCCATTATGATCAGTTGGGAAGGGGAGACCAAGCTCCGCTCTTTATAACATTCCTAGTCAATGACAACAAAGATTTAAGTCATTTTTAATGCATACAAACGCATATGAAATTAGAAGGAGATAATGTTCTCTGTAAAGGAAGTTCCAAAAGATTATATAGTTAATAGTCCTTGGGATACCCTTGAGATTGTAGTTGTTTAGTTGATTTTTTGGACTGTCAGCAGAAACATGTATTGCAGTTATCTATTAAGTTCCCAGTTTCCTGATGTTTCTTTCTAGTGTTGCTATTGTCTGCTTCTCTTCTTTGAGAGAGAGAGAGAAGGAGAGAGCAGTCTTCAGCCCATTTAAGTTCTGCAGTTTATAATCTATCTCTACCAATGAGGCCCCTTGAAATAAATCTAGTTGTATAATCTCTATCTGCCAAAGTAATGTTTTAAGGCTTGACCATTGTAAGTGAGGTTCTATTTCAAACATGGGAAGATTCTCATAAATCAAATTGGAGATGAGCACCTTTTCACTATTCTGAGGGTTGCTGGTTTGGTTTAACTGCTGTTGGGTAAAATGTTATATTCAGCTTGCACTGTTTTTGTTCATTTAATCCATGTTGTATTCATGAAAACTGGCCAACCTAGGTGGATCAGATGATGCCTAAAGCCATTTTAAGTCAATGTTTTTCCTTCTTTTTTAAAATCATTTCAGTCCATAGAAAGCCCAGGTATCAAGTTGGCTGATTTGAATTCAACGATCAATATTGTGATAGTACAAATAACCATTCTACATATGTGAGAGTGAGAGTGAAGGCTGTTGAAATGTAGGGCACATCGGAACAATGAGCCTTCATCTCCGGTCCCTGTATGAATCCTAGTAGGTGATCATTTGATGGTATTTGGGTGTAACAACTCTGGCTCCTTTTTCTCATCCCTTATTCAGGGTTGCTGAAATGAATTGTAGAGCCTGGTTGAAATCAGCCATGGACCACAAATCAGACCTGGATTCTCCCCATTCTGTACGATAGGAAGTGGGGCCAGAAATATTAGGTATATTGGTGGTCATCTTCCAAAATTCTATAGAGACTAAAGCAGTTCCTACAGATTGGAGTGTGGAAAATATAACCCCGCTACTTAAAAAGGGAGGGAGAAGGAAAAAGAGAATGACAGACCACTTAACCTCATATCAGTAGTGAGGTAAGTGCTAGAATATTATATGAGATGTGATAACAGCCATTTGGAAAGCATTAAGAGGATCGGAGAAAGCCAGCATGGGTTTGTGAAAGGTAAATCATGTGTAATAAATCAACCGGTGTCCTTGGCCTCCCAAATTCTTTCTGTACCTGTGTTTTATCATTGACTTGTGTCCAAGTGGTATGTTGGCCATCATCGCAAGAGGATTTGAGTTCAGAAGTAGGATATCTTAATGCAGTTACATGGAGTCTTGGTGAGACCACAGCTGGAGTACTGCATGCAATTTTGGTCTCTCTACCTAAGAATGTGTTTACTTACCATTGTGGTACTGCAGAGGAGGTTCAGTAGACTGATACTGGTGATGGCAGGACTGTCCAATGAGGAGATACTAATTCATCTGTGCCTGTACTAATTATAGTTTAGAAAGATGAGCGGGGATCTGCGTGAAATCCTAACAGGGCTGAACAGATTTGATGCACGGAAAATGGTTTCCCTTGTTGGGGGTATAGAATCAGCAGGCACAGTCTCAGGATACGGGAGAGAAAATTTTTAGATTTTAAGGAACCAAGTGGTATGGGGAGATGATGGCCTAGTGGTATTGTTGCTGGACTGCTAATCCAGAGACCCACATAATGTTCTGGGGATCTGGGTTCAAATTGCGCCACGGCATATGGTGGAATTTGCATTCAATAAATATCTGGAATTAAGAATCTAATGATGACCATGAATCTATTGTCGATTGTTGAAAAAATCCATCTGGTTTACTAATGTCCTTAGGGAAGGAAACTGCCATCCTTATCTGGTCTGGCCTACATGCGCCTCCAGACCCACAGCAAATGTGGTTGACTCTTAACTGCCCTCTGGGCAATTAGGGATGGGTAACAAATGCTGCTTGGTCAGCGACACCCTCATCCCATGAATGAATAAAGGAAAAAATGGAATAGTCAGGGTTGAGTTGATGTTGAAAATTAGCCATTCTTGTATTGAGGCTCAAAAGTCCAAATGGCCTTTCATATTGCTATTTCTTTGTCCCCACCAGGTTCCAAAGACACTCAATCCCAAATAACAAACAGTTGGATTCTGATGAGAAATTCATTAGCCTCCACATCTTCTCTATTACTACTTTCTCTTGTCTCTTTGCATTATCAATGCTGCCACAGCCAGCTGTAACTGTTGTTCCTAAATTTTAAATGTGTTATCCTCGACTCTAACCTAATCCCTATTGTCTTGTGATCAGAACTGATCAGCATGATCCTACTCAATCTCTAAACTATGAAATTCTTTTTTGTCCATCAGTGCTTCTCAACGGGCATTGATATTTAACTGATGAAGGCTCATGATTCTGAGACTATCCAAATTGATTTTATGACCAACAAATGGGAAGCCTTTGTGCCCTTAAACTGGACTGGTGTCAGGATCTGATCTCAAAGTACGTTGGAACAGGAATTAATAATTCGGCTCCTCAAGTCTCAACTCTATTTACCTGACTTTGTTGCATGTGATACCCTTGCCTAACAAAAACCTATCAATATCAGCCTGGAAATTTTTAATTAAGTACAGTATCCATTTGTGAGAGTGAATTCCAGATTTTCGTTTCTAGATGGCCAATGTCTATTTTACATTATGCCTTCTTGTTCTGGGAGGTGAGGGTATCTGAAACATTCAAGTACTTAGTTCCCCTAAGTATTTTATGTTTGTAAAAATGTTAGGAATGTTATTTGAAGAAAGTGAAAGTTGAATGAATGCACATTAGAAGCATTTGAGTAGCTGTACAATGTTACTACATATACAGCAAGGTTGTGATTTTAAAGAAATCTCCATTTTTACACAGGGCGATAAAGCAGACTGTTTCTTCATTGTAGAATCGGGTGAAGTGAAGATCATGATCAAGAGCAAAGTAAGAGGTTTTATGAGCTCAGATGGATATCAAGTGATCGTATGCAATAATTACAGAAATAAAACACTGCAGTTGTTGGAAATACCCAGCAGGTTGGGCACTATGTGGCAAGAGAAAATAGTTAATATTTCAGGTCAATGATGTTTCATCAGTTAGAAAACATGAAAAATTAGACTATTTTTAAGCAAGTGTACAGTTGAGACAAAATAGATGCGTCAGTAAGGGATTAGGAATGATATGTAAGATTTGAGCAGTATTTAAATAACGAACTGAGCAAGACAAAGATAGGTAACAATAAAGCAATTTAAAACAAGACCATTACCAGCATCTGCTGACTGAGAAAACTGGAGTAGTGGATGCAACCTAGAATTGTTGAACTCCACCTTGAGTCCATAAAGCTGTAACGTGCTTCAATGAAAGCTGAGTTTCTGCTCCCCAAGCTTTCCTTGAACTTCATTAAACACTCCCAGAAACAGAGACCAGAGTGAGATTGAGTACTCAAGTGGAAAGGGACCAGAAGCTTGGTTACGTTTGTGAACTGAGTGGACATGTTCAGCAAAGTCATCACTCTATTATGTTTAGTCTCACAAGTATAGAAGGGGGCCTATTATGAGCAATATGTATTACATACAAAATTTACAAGCAAATTGCTGATTCGTCTGGAAGGATTATTTGGAGACCAGGACAATGGGAAGGTTTGAGGGGAAAGAACAGATGTTGCATCTTTTTTGCTTGCGTAGGAAGGAAAATGAATGTTAGGAGTGATGGTAGAGTGAATCAGGATGTTGTGGGGAGAATGGTCCCTTCAGAATGCTTAAAAGAAGGAATCTATGTGATGGCACACTGAAGGTACTGGAAATTGCAAAGTATTATAACGTGGAGACTCGTGGGTCAAGGAAGTTCTGGGAGAGAGGTCAGAACTGGAGGGAAATAGGATGGATATGGTTTCATGCTTTGTTCACCTAATGAAAGGAAATCCTCACCGGGGCAAAAGAAGGACCTGTTAGAAACGCTGATGTGGAAGTTGGAGTTATAACTTGGTATAACAGACCGAGAAGTTAGAAAATGGAGTGGTGTCCTTATAGCCAGAGAGTGATGAGAAGTGTAATTAAGGAGCTGTACAAGTCTGAGAGTTTATCTCTAATATTGGTAGAAAGCTCATTCCTGCAAATAGAAAAAGAAGCAAAGGAGAGGCAGTTGTTGGAAATTGACTGCAGAATGGCATGAGAGCGATGAAAATTAAAAGTAGCCCTAATTAAGTTGTTCAGGTTGGAGCTCGAGCAGGAAGCAGTACTGATGGTTGTAACCTATATGCTAAAGAGGAATTAATATGAACATAGCTGGAACAAAAGTGTAGTTAATGCAATGCAGGTTGCCATAGAGGCATCCTTTATTTTGAGGAATTGAGTGAAATTAAAGGATGTACTGTTGAATGTTTAAACAAATTCAACCAGGTGAAAAAGGATGATGGTAGATGTGGACTTGTTAGGCCTTGTTGAAAGGAAGAAGCAGAGGATAGGGGAACATGCACGCATTTCTGCAGCTGCAGACATGCTCCGGGGTAGTGTGTTTCCTCCCTGGGGCCAGGGTCAGGGATGTGCTGAGTAGCTGCAAGGCATCCTGAAGGGAAGGACACTAAGTTAGAGGTTGTGATACACATTGGTACCAATAACATAGAATGAGAGATGAGGGCTTGCATCAAGAATTCAGGGAACTAGATTTTTAATCAGTAGACTCAAAAGCAGGGCCTCAATTGCTGTAATTGTAGGATTATTGCCAGTGTCATGTGCTAGTGAGTACAGAAATAGGATAATAAGGCAGGTGAAAATGTAGCTCAAGAGTGCAGCTCGGAAAGTTTTAGATTCCTGATCATTGGGACCATTTCTGGAGAAGGTAGGACCTGTACAAGCGAGGTAGTCTGCATCTGACTGAGATAGGGACTAGCATCCTTGCTGGTACGTTTGCTGGTTTTTTTTTTGGGAGAAGTTTAAACTAGTTCAGCAGGGGACACAGTGTTAGTATAATAAGGGCACAGTCTTCATAGTAAAGGAACCAAGATAAAGGGAGTTCAGCCATTTTGAATTTCAAGGGTGCAAAGTGAGGCTGGATAGCCTGTACTTTAATGCTAGGACTATTATAGGTAAGACAGAAAAGGGCATGAATGACATGTGGAGTTGCCATCACAGAGATGTGATTGAGTGAGGGGTATGACTGGTAGCTCAGCATTCCAAGGTATATTCCACTCCCCCCTCCCAGCATTAATTGGGATAGTCATAGTTTAAGGGTTTAGAGCAGGCATATTTCTTGAGATATATTGAGAAGAACCTTTTATGTCCACGTGTTAAAGGTCCAACAAGGAACAGCACAGTGTTGGACCTAATTCTGGAGAACAAAGCTGGAAGAGATTCGAGGTGGCCATGGGGAAGCATTTTAGTGATAGTGACCACAACACAATATGTTTTAAGTTTGTTATGGAAATGGAAAATCATGATCTGCAAAAATAGGTTTTGGATTGGGGGAAGGCAGATGTTATGAAAATAAGGCAGGATCTGGACAAAGTCGACGAGGAACAGCTACATGTGGGGAAAAGCTACAGTAGAATAGATGTGGAGGGTCATTCAAAAAGGAAATGGGGAAATCTCATCTCCCAGACCATCCATAACTTTATCACCTCAGGTGACCTCCCACCCACAGCCTCTAACCTCATCATTCCCCAACCCCGCACCGCCTGTTTCTATCTCCTTCCCAAAATCCATAAACCCGACTGCCTTGCCCGACCAATTGTCTCTGCCTGCTCCTGCCCCACCGAACTTATCTCCACTTATCTCGACTCCAATTTCTCCCCCGGTCCAGGAATTCCCAACCTTCGTCCGGGACACCACCCACGCCTCCACCACCTCCAAAACTTCCGGTTCCCTGGCCCTCAACACCTCATCTTGACCATGGACTTCCAATCCCTGTATACTTGCATTCCCCATGCAGATGGCCTAAAAGCCCTCCGCTTCTTCCTCTCCCGCAGGCCCAACCAGTCCCCCTTCACTGACACCCTTATCCGCCTAACCAAACTCATCCTTACCCTTAACAACTTCTCCTTCAACTCCTCCCACTTCCTACAGACAAAAGGGGTGGCCATGGGCCCAAGCTATGCATGCCTTTTTGTAGGATACGTGGAACAGTCCCTCTTCCGCATTTACACTGGCCCTATCCCCCACCTGTCCCTCCGTTACGTCTTTGACTGTATCGGCGCCGCCTCGTGCTCCCACGATGAGCTCGAACAGTTCATCAACTTTACTAATACCTTCCACCCAACCTCAAGTTCACCTGGACCATCTCTGATACCTCTCTCTCCTTCTTGGACTTCTCTGTCTCCATCTCTGGTAACCACCTTGAGACTGATATCTATTTCAAGCCCACTGACTCTCACAGCAACCTAGAATGCACCTCCTCTCACCCACCTTCCTGCAAGAATGCGATCTCCTATTCCCAATTCCTCCGCCTCCGCTGCATCTGCTCCCAAGATGAGGCGTTCCACTCCTGGACATCCCAGCTGTCCTCATTTTTTCAAGGACTGCAATCTCCCCCACCCCACAGTGGTCAAAAATGCCCTCAACAGCATCTCAAGCAGCATCATAGGAGCAGGAAGGCTGACGCTTCGGGCCTAGACCGGCATCTGCCGTTCCTACTATCTCCTCAACAGCATCTCTTGCGTTTTCCCGCACCTCAGCCCTCACAACCCTTCCCTGCAATAAAAACAAAGACAGAATTCCTCTTGTCCTCACGTATCACCCCGTTAATCTCTGGATTCAATGCATCATTTTCCGCCACCTGCAATCTGACCTTACTACGAAGGATATGTTTCCCTCCCCACCTTTATCTGCCTTCCGGAGGGACCGCGCTCTCCACGACTCCCTCGTCCGCCCCACACTCCCCACTCGCCCCACCACCCCCGGCACCTTTCCCTGCAACCGCAGGAGGTGCTACACCTGCCCTTACACCTCCCCCCTCACCTCCATCCCAGGACCCAAAAAAACCTTCCACTTTAAACAGATGTTCACCTGCACATCCGCTAATGTGGTCCATTGTATCCGCTGTTCCCGATGCGGCCTCCTCTACATCAGGGAGACCAAGCGGAGGCTCGGAGACCGCTTTGTGGAGCACCTACACTCAGTTCGCGACAAACGTTAACACCTCCAAGTCGCGAACCACTTCAGCTCCCCCTCCCACTCCCTGGACGACATGTCCATCCTGGGCCTCCTCCAGTGTCACAATGATGCCACCCGGAAACTGGAGGCACAGCACCTCATATTCCGCCTTGGAACCCATCAACCCAATGGTCTCAATGTGGATTTTACTAGCTTCAAAATCCCTGAAAACCCCTGTCCTCATCCCAAGACCAGACCACCCCCCTATCTCCGCCTCCTTGACCCGTCCATCTTCTCTCCCACCTATCCACCCCTCCCACCTCACTGACCAACCCCCATCCCCACTTCCTACTTGCATTCACCTTTACTGGCTTCATCCCTGCCTCCTTGACCTGTCCGTCTTCTCTTCCACCTATCTGCTCCACTATCCACCTTCTATCACCGTCCCCCTCCTCAATTTATTCCAGAGCCCCCTTCCCCTCCCCCATTTTTGAAGAAGAGTCCAGACCCGAAACGTCAGCTTTCCTGCTTCTCTGATGCTGCCTGGCCTGCTGTGTTACTCCAGCTCCACATCTTGTTATCCCAGACTGCAGCATCGGCAGTTCCTACTATCTCTGAGATCTCAGGTCTAATGTGTTCCCTTGATGGTGAGATATGAGAACAACAAACCCAGAGAACCTTGGATGTCTAGGAATATTCAGGACTGGATGATAAGAAAAAGACAGGCTTTTAGCAGGTACAAAGGGAGCAAATCAACTGAGGCCCTAGTGGAGTACAGAAGTGCAGGAGGGCAAGAGTAAGGACCAAGGGGACAACCTGTGCACGAAGCCAGAGAACATGGGCAAGGTATTAAAGGAGTATTTCACATCTGTCTTCATTGGGAGAAGGAGAATGTATTTTGGGAAGAGGGACTGTGAGGTTCTTGAGCAGATTGACATAGGGAGTAAGGAACTTTTGGAGGGTTTGGCTGGTTTAAAAGTGGATGAATCCCCAGGTCCAGAGAGTTCTGTCCCACGCTGCTGTGGGAGATGAGGGAGGAAATTAAGAGGTTCTCACCCAAATTTTTAATTCCTGTCTGGCCACACGGGATGCCAAAGGACTAGAAGGCAAGTAATGGAGTTCCACTTTTCAAGAAGGATGGTAGAGATAAATCGGAGAATTACAGACAAGTGAGTCTTATGTTAGTGATAGGACAACTGTTGGATAAAATTCTGAAGAAGAGAATTAATCTCTCACTTATTTAGATTGAATTCCATTTGCCACTGATTAGCCCATCTTTTTCTCCTGTAATCTAAGTTTATCTTCACCATTGTACCACCCTACTGATTTTCGTATCATCCATTAACCATAAGCATCATCCTGCATTCAAGTCTAAATCATTTATGTAATACCACAAACAGCAAGAGCCCCAACACTGATCCCTGTGGAACCACACTGGACACCGGGTTTCCTGTCACAAAACACACTCCACCATCACATTCTACTTCCTGCCTCTCAGCAAATTGTGGATCCAAATAGTCAAGTTTTCATGGATCCCGTGGGTTCTTATCCTTTGTTATCAGTCTCCCATGCAGGACCTTATCAAAAGCCTTGCTCAAGTCCAAGTAGGATACTTCAAATGCATTGCCCTTATCTATAAACCTGGTCACTTCTTCGAAAAAGTCAATCAACTTGATTAGACATGATCTCCCCTTAACAAAACCATACTGACTGTTCTTGATTAATCTCTGCCTGTCCAAGTGCAGATTAATTCTGTCCCTCAGAATTGCTTCCAATAATTTACCCACCTCTGAGGTTAGACTGACTTCCTGAAGTTTCCTGGTTTATCCCAGGCTCCCTTTTGTATAATGATACCACATGTCCTCCAGACCAGTGGCTAGAAAGGAATTGAAAATTATTGCCAGTGTTCTGCTATTTCCTCCTTTGCCTCACTCAACAACCAGGAGACATAGAGTTGTAGTAGAAATTGCTTTGATCTTGGAAGGAGCAATGCCTTAAGGTCTTTGAGGAGAAAAGGGATATTTTAGACGCAGGAGGTGCTAGCAGAGATGTATGTAGATTCTTAGCCCTAATGAAGCTGTTCTTCTGCTTCTAGATTCTCGGATAGGAACTGATATTCAGGGGGTTTTGGAATTGACAGCAACAATATATCAGCCTGTTGGCATAAGCAGATATACCACGTTTGAAGGAGGAAGGCAGGTTAAATATTTATGATGGACTACGCGTGAAATGTTGACCTGACTTCCTTTCAAATGTTTTTGCAGATGCATAACAGGTTTCTTTCCCTGTTCACTGTAGCCATACTTGCTCATTCATTATGAATGTAACTTGCTGCTTTATTACAGGAATCAAAATGCATTGGCAAACTTGAATCAATTACCCACAGCAAAAGCAGTTGTTTTTCAATTAAAACATCAGCATGTCTCTTTGTAGGTTCCATGTACAGTTTCCAGAAATTCAGATTTTACTCTTAAAAGACTATGGATGATTGAATGTTGATTTGTGTTTCTGAATATATGCACTTCACCTTCACAGATCTAGTTGAAGGAAGCAGCGAGGATGCAGAAATAGGAAATGCGGATTAAAATTTCGATATGTGCACTCCAAGGCTAAACTTTTGAGTGCAGATTTTTTTTCACATAACAGTTTGTATAGTATTCAGCTTATTTTGATATAAATTGATTGTGTTTATTTCTCTATTACCTAATGTACTCAATCTCAAGACATTGGCAAGTCAACAGGATAAGACAGAAGTAGAGATTGCCAGGTGTACCAAGGGGCAGTATTTTGGAGAGCTAGCACTGGTTACCAACAAACCCAGAGCAGCTTCAGCATACGCTGTTGGAGAAGTCAAGTGCTTAGGCAAGTATTCTTTTTCTTGTTGTTTGTGACAAGTCTAACGGAATTTAGTTTCACTTCAAAAAATACTTATTCATTCCACTATTTGTTTTGTAATGATGTCTGACAGTCATTATTGAATCCTTTCTAACATATGCGTCCAAATCTCATACTGTGTGGACTGCTATCCTAACTCATTGGTGATCTCCAGACTTCACTTTAAAAAAATCTATTGTACAGTGTAAACATCAAAAATATGGATGGAAGTATACAATATAGCTCCTCGAGCTTGTTCTGCCATTCAGTTTGATCTTCTGCCTCAAATTTGCTTCCCCATCTGCTTCCTGTATCTCTTGACTTTGAGAGAAAAGCATGTGTCTGTCCCAAGAACAAATGTACTTGATGTTGGAGCATTCACAATCTTTTGGGGTAGTGTCAGCCTTTTCCCATTGGACAACCCTCATTTGAGGAATTAATCTATTGCACCTTCGCTGAACTGCCTACAACTTAAATATATCCTTCCTTCAGTATGAAGACCAAAACTGCACATATTTTTTAGGTGTCTTCTAATCAAAACCCTACAAATTGTAGCAAGACTTCTTTTATTCTTATACTGCAATTCCATTGCAATATGTTCTGGCATGTTACGGGCCTCATAATTGTTTTCTGTATCTGCGTGTTAGTTTTGGTGGAACATGGATGAAAATGCACTAAAGGTGGTAATGTAGGACCATGATTTAGGTTACTGTGACATCAATTGCGTACTATGAAGTAAACATGACATTTAAGAAAGCAAGTTATTGTAATGTTTCACTTCAAGGAGCTCTAGTGAGCTCAAGGGAAAGGCAGTATACTGGTGTGGAATCTTGCTTTGACCTTCTATCCCCATTGTGTCTTCTCTGGTTTGTGTTTGTTCAAACAAACTCATGCGTAAGATATTTTGTTAGCTCAAAACGGTGAGCTTATCAAGCTTTTTAAAACCATTTCTTCTGTCTTCTCTTTCCAGTGATGGATATTCAAGCATTTGAAAGATTGTTAGGCCCTTGCATGGACATCATGAAGAGAAATATAGTGAATTATGAAGAACAACTTGTCTCCTTGTTTGGCACCAGTTTGGACTTGGAGAATCCTGGTATATAGGCACATTGTCATCCAGTGCCTTTCACATTGATGAAAACGAAGTGAAAATTATCCACACACAAATAAAACTCCCCACTGAAAAAAAAGCAGTATATGGGCAAAGCAGCATTTTCTGGCTCTTTGCATCCCATGGGGTAGCTACCATGTAATGCTGAAATACATTACTGGCCAGACAGGGATGGGAAAATAAGTGGCATATGTTTGTTTCTGTTTTGTTATCTGCCTTCTTGAGTTTAAAAGCATTTATTCTGTTTCTTAATTTTTCTTTCAAAACCAAACAAAATGTTGGTTTATGAATTATCAAACTGAACAACAAAGACAAATACTAAATGTAACGTTTGATAAGATGAAATTGATGAGATTCAGTGTTTCTTTGTTACTTATATAAGTAGGTGACCAGTTCTTGCCAAAAAAATCTCCAAAAAAAAAAGATTGTTGTAAAGCTTTGATTGCTTCTGTGGTTTCACACTGAGTGTTACATTGGAAAGTATCTGGGATAGGTTTTAATGTTTCATATAAACCTTTAAAGATCCCTGAATTGTGTTAAATGTAGACCACAGTAGCTGTTTTTTAAATCAAGGGGTTTCTAAAATGCAAGTTGTGCATCCATCATGGGAATTCAGCATGGTTCAGGTCCAAAGTATGAAGATCATCACATCCTCTGGATTATTTCAAAATCAACAAAGTGGCAAAATTGTCAATTTGCAGAATTAGAGCAACACAACTGGAAAAGCAAGTCTCCAGTTTGTTGCTCCTATGCGGTTAATAACACAGATGTGTTCGAAAAGCAGTGCTATTCCTGTCTGTGCTATTTTTTTGTGAAACCTTGTCAGGGTAATACAAAGCTGCCATTTGCAGTAACTCTTCTCATCCCACCAGCCACCTACCCACACTTTTTTATTGAGATTTTTCAGCTGGCTTGGGTTGAATTGTATTTTTTTTAAATGAAAGGGCCTTCTCAAGCACAGTGGTTACCTGATATACCTTGTGCATGTTGCTTGTGACTGCCATAGCTTGCAGTTTGCACTATTAGACAATTTCTACAAGATGAAAAAATGTGTGCTTTTGGTCTTTTGCTTCTATTTTGTTATTAATATTTGAGTTGTCTTTTTCTTTCCCCTCCTACAATGCTTCCTGTATGTATATGTCAGGAGGAAAGAGATTCAGTTCACCAGACAGATGTTCTGGAATTGGCATGATTCTATAATGCAGGAATCATCTCTGCCCAATTACTTTCCCTGTTTTTTTTTAACGCAGCACAAGCCACTCCTATACACACCCTTCAGGGAAATGTTGAGCAGACTAGTTGAGGTGAGCATTGAGATGGCATATTTCTAACATAGAGCTCAATCTAACATTCAAAAGCCATGGCATGATGAGCTGTAATTAGGAAAAGCTGTTGATTTATTGTGTGACCAGATCCATTAACAGCTCTGTGCCACAGAACAGGAATACCTGCAGTCATTGAATCATGAAAATGGTTATTGCTGTTAATGGAATTTTTTTTAAGTTAATGTGGTGTAACAAACTACAGTAAAGTGATTGCAGCCACCATTATATTCAGGATCACATGATTTATTTAAACTTCAAATGGAGAAGTTCCTAGATCTAAAGTTTAGAAAAAATGATTTAAAGTCACTTTTTATCTTGTGTATATTTCATCGACAAACCTGTTCACCCTGCAATAAATCTGAAATATTGCCATATGTTTTTCTAAACAGAGCACAGTCCTGATAGACTCAGAAATATTGGTAAAAAAGCAAGAAGCTGCTGTGAAAATTTACCAAACTCTTTTGTTTCTTGTAATCCTAATTGCATAGTAAGCACTTGGCTTGACACCCTGTTTCTGGGTATAACTCTCTATTCTGTGTTGAATCAACTCACCTGCACCTGCTTGCTGCTGGAGGTATCATTAGCAAGAGCTCAGCAACCCTGGGTTACATGGAGGTGAGCCGGCTATTGTTCTCACTCTTCATTGCTAACTAGCTAAGAATTGGACATTCATGTGCATGACAGAGTCATGTCTCCTGTTAGCATTGATTGCTGAGACTGGTGCATGATGAATTGCCTCAAGGTTATGGTCCTGTGGCATCCTGTCAGGGAGTTGGTATCTTCTGATGAAGAGCAGGAGAAAGCAGGCAGGGGAACATGAATGAAAATTAAAAGTTTATTTAGTTTTGAAAGAGCTTGCTTTAGTAATTCATTTTCACTTTTGTGCAAGTTTGTGTTCTCATCATTTCACTTAGATATATACCTACTGTATTTACAAATGAACTTAACTGGGGTCTGACAATGTGACCAATATGGAGCAGACCCAGGACATGATATGCTGGTCAAGCCTGATTGTGAAGTGCTGGATGACATGAATAATGCAAGGTCACCTAAGTAGTTCTGGGTTTTTCTATAAAACGGCATATTGTAAATGCTTCACCAGGAGACTTCTGACACTGGCAGTTCATCGTGATGTTGGCGATTTGAAGATATCATTATTCCTCAAGACAGGGTAGGTACGACATGGTCAGTTCCAGCATTGAAGTGTGTTTTTTAAGGCCATAGTCTGTTAGTAAGATTGGACCCCCCCCTAGAAGGAATAAATTAAAGACCAACTAAATGTAGAGCAGCTGTTGAAGCACTCCAACTACATTGTGAATAAGTTTCTTAAATAAAATTTGGGGCTCTAATATGCATTGTGTCTGTTCGTGTGTGTGTGCAGGTGGCAAATGCCAGACGCATGTGACTATAGCATTTTGCTCTCTTGCCCAGTAATATAGTGCCAGAGAACACTACAGTGCTTAACATTTCATTCTCTACTTGTCCCTTCCACGCAACGTTTGATCCACTGTTCTACTTTTGATTACTTGGGTTTTGGTATTTTATTGAAAACAGTATTTTCATCCACCAAAGTATGTGGGCTCTTTGTTGAGAATTTTGTATTTTACTTTAATTCAAGCTCATTTACATGGTCCAAGGCTGCTTTTCTGTGATTTTTCACTACTTCATGTGATACAAAATTAACATTCAGCTTGGCATTCTGACCTCAAAGAGAACAGAGATGCTGCCAGTTTTGTTGATGGTGAGCAATATATCTTGCATTGAAAGGGCTATCACATTAGAATTTATTAGCATCTGTTGATATAATAACTGATATTCCAACAGTACTCTGAAGCTAGAGGAACAAAAGCAGGCTATTTTGAAGAAACTTTCAAAGGTTAATTGACCTTTGCAATAGATCCTAGTTTCTCATTGGCTTCAAGTCTTATATTTTAACGTGAAACCCTTCAGACATGATCTTTTAAACATCCTGAAGGCTGCCGTCTAAAATTGCTGCCTGTCCCACTTCGTCATATTTTGGCGTTCTGACCCTTGCCATATTTTCAAAGACACTACAATCACTGCTATACTTCATCTAAGGAAGCTCGGACAGTGAACTTGTAGCCTGATGGTCTATGGAACCCATCCCGGCAAAGCCCATTTTTGTCATTACCCGATTGTCCACATGCACCTTGACAGTAATTATTGATGCTGAACAACAACAACAAATTAGATGGAAATCACATGTTTCCCAATTAGTTTACACTCTCTAACCTAGTGGCAGCAAATCTACTTGCGTCACTAAGAATAAATCGGAGTACAGAACGGAGCGAACAAACTGCACTCAAGTACTTGCAACATTGTTAAGAACCAGTGTTGCCCCTACAGTGCAGTTCCTTGTGCATCAAATAGGGGCTTTTATAATATAACTGGGAATACCCAGTATATTTTGAATCGTGTAAGCAGTCATTTGGTCTGGTGGCCAAAGCCTGCAAAGTTGTCATGAAACTGCAGAAATGAGTGGAAAAAGCAGTTCAAAATAGTAAATGTGGAGTAAAAGCAGGTATGTGTCTACCTGAATACTAGGGACAGAGATAGGAGGAACTGCAGATGCTGTACAATCCGAGACAACAAGGTGCAGAGCTGGATGAACACAGCAGGCCAAGCAGCATCATAGGTGCAGAAAGGCTGACGTTTCGGGCCTAGACCCTTCTGATGAAGGGTCTAGGCCCGAAA